AGGAAAGGAAAGGAAAGGAAAGGAAAGGAAAGGAAAGGAAAGGAAAGGAAAGGAAAGGAAAGGAAAGGAAAGGAAAGGAAAGGAAAGAAAAAGGAAGGTGAATTTATTTCAAGAGGCTGAGCTGCCTCAGAGGGGAGCCAGCCACCAGAGGAAGAAGGGAGCCTCCTGCCCCAGGGTGGCGCAAACCCAGGAAAAACCACGCGGCTGCAGGCCAGGGAGTGGTCAGGGTCCGGGCCTTGAGGAGGGTTGGGGAGGAGAGGAAGTTCTGCTTTTCTGGGAAGCACGGCAGGGAGAGGGACAGCCACTTGTCCTAAGTATCGGGCTCCCAACCTGTACAATAGGTGCAGGGAAAAAGCCACCAGCCATGCAGCTTCCTCTGGTGTCCGAGTTTGGTGACACTGCACGTTCACTGCAGGCCTGCCTCAGACGCTGCCGGATGCTGGCCCAGAGGGTGGGGCGGGGCGGGGCGGAGGACTGGGGCCAAAGGTGCGTGCGGTCCCACTTCCGCAGCCTTTAAAGGCAAGGGCTGCTGAGCACCTGCTCACAGGGCGTCCAGCCTCCCGTTGTCACTGATGGGGCGGGGGAGGGGGTTGTTCCTCAATCCCCCAGGACATACAAGTAACCAAGCCATGTCCCCAGCCACCCTCTGTCCCTAAGGGTTGTGGTTCATCTCTTGGCCTTTGTCCTCATTCAATCCATGCTTTTGTTTGACAGTTAAGACACATCACTGCCCAGGTCACTGTGCTCTGGCCTCTAAGGCTAGCACAAGTGTCCCCTCCTCAGGAAGCATTCTGAATATGTCTCCTAGCACCCCAGCCTACCTAGTTACAGGATGGTTTATTGCCTTTTTACCCAAAAAAGGCAAAATAGTTGCCTTTTTAAGAAATGTTTGGGGCTGGGGATTTAGCTCAGCAGCACAGCGCCTGCCTGGCAAGCACGAGGTCGTGAGTTTGATTCCCTGTACCGGAAAAAAAAAACAAAAAAAAAAAACTGTGTTTCTAGCTGGGCGTGGTAGTACGTCTGTTACTCCAGCATTCCGGAGGCTGAGGCCAGAGGATTGTTTGAGGGCAACCTGGGCTACAGTGAGACGCTATCTGAAAAGGCATCTACATTTTGTGCTTTATTGAGGTACAGTTGTTTCATGCCCGCACCTGTGAAACCACACTGGGCGACACAACCAGTGCTGCCTCCCTCCGCCTGGTCCACCTGAAGCCACACCCTTCCCATACCAGGCACCCCCGGAGGGCGGGGCATACCACATTGTGGGTGGATGCGCCAGTAACTAGCTGGGTGGCTAAGTAGTCCCGTTTCCAGGTTGACAGCTTCTATAGGGCAGGACCTCTGTTGGGTCACCTGAGTAGCCTCAGAGCCAGGGAGGGTATAGTTTGTGCTCCTGTGAGTCTCCAGAGAAGGGGGTTCCACCCCCTCCTTGAAGTCAGTCACAGCTTCTCAGGATGCCCACCCCAACCCTCAAGCCCCCAGAATTCCCCTGCAGGTCAGAACTGAGGCCCCAGGCAGGTCCCCTCCTAGTCACCAGGCTATGCAGACCTTGATCCAGGTGGCTGCAAAGCACAGGAACCTGGGGACCAGGTGGCGAAGGACTCAAGACTTGGCAGCCTCTCTCCAGGGTGACACCAAGGGGGAGTAAGAGGGATGTGGCTAGGAGTCCCACTTAGCACCCCAATTCCTCTTCAGGACACCAGGTTCAGCAAGGTTATCTTCCCTGAGGTACCTCCACCCACTTTAGGGGACCCAAGCCCCAACAGCCCAGAAAGCTCCCCACCCTCTGGAGGCCTTTGGACCCCAGAACCCCGTAACAGCAATGGAGGGGGGCAGGCCAGGGAACAAGAGGCTGGTCCACCCCACTTGCCTGGGCCCCCAGCACACCCTCCCAAAGCCCACAAGCCCAGCATGCCCCAAGTCACGCAGCCACGCCCATCTTTAAGGTGTGCACTTTTATTGAACTGGTCTCAAGTCAGTGTACAGGTAAGCCCTGGCTGCCTCCACACCTTGACTCACTCCTAGGGAGACCAAAAGCCTTCATACATCAAGTTGGGGGACAAAAAGGGGGCCATGATGGCTGACCATTCAAAAATAAAACAAAATAAAAAAGTATTAAGGCGAAGATTAAAAAAATTTGCATTACATAATTTACACAAAAGCAATGCTGTTGCCTCCCCTGCATGGACTCGGGGAGGCCTGGGCCCTCCTGTGTGGAGGAGTGGGGCAGCTTTTGGGAGGGTGAGGGACTTCCTGTAACAATGCATCTCACGATATTTGGAATGATTAAAAAAAAACAATGTACAATCAAAGTCCTCGGCCACATTGTAGAACTTTGGGGATGCTCACTCCAACCGCCTGCTGTCACCTTCACCGTTCCAGTTTTTAAATCCTGAGTCAAAAGCGCCAAAACAAAAAAACAAAACAAAAAAGAAAAAACAAATAAAGCCATGCCAATCTCATCTCGTTTTCTGCGCGCAAGTTAGGTTTTTGTCAAGAAAGGGTGAAACGCAGCGAAGTAACAGTCCTCCTAGAAGCATTTGCGGTGCACGATAGAGGGGCCCGACTCGTCGTACTCCTGCTTGCTGATCCACATCTGCTGGAAGGTGGAGAGTGAGGCCAGGATGGAGCCGCCGATCCACACGGAGTACTTGCGCTCAGGGGGAGCGATGATCTGCGAAGGGAAGAGACACACACAGTCATCCGGAGGGCAATGGATACCAGGGTGCTCCCCTCACTGGGGGCCGCTACGGACAGTGGCTCTGGCCACAAGGGACACTCACCTTGATCTTCATCGTGCTGGGGGCCAGGGCCGTGATCTCCTTCTGCATCCTGTCAGCAATGCCTGGGTACATGGTGGTACCGCCGGACAGCACTGTGTTGGCATAGAGGTCCTTGCGGATGTCGACATCACACTTCATGATAGAATTGAAGGTAGTTTCGTGGATGCCACAGGACTCCATGCCTGGGGGGAAATGGAGGTAACAGTTAACTTCCACAGCACGGCCCCACGGTGACACCAGGCTGCGCATAGGACCACACACAGAACCTTGCACTCACCCAGGAAGGAGGGCTGGAAGAGCGCCTCTGGGCAGCGGAACCGCTCGTTGCCAATGGTGATCACCTGGCCATCGGGCAGCTCGTAGCTCTTCTCCAGGGAGGAGGAGGATGCGGCGGTGGCCATCTCCTGCTCGAAGTCCAGGGCAACGTAGCACAGCTTTTCCTTGATGTCACGCACGATTTCCCGCTCGGCCGTGGTGGTGAAACTGTAGCCACGCTCCGTCAGGATCTTCATGAGGTAGTCCGTCAGGTCCCGGCCAGCCAGGTCCAGACGCAGGATGGCATGGGGGAGGGCGTAGCCCTCGTAGATGGGCACAGTGTGGGTGACCCCGTCCCCGGAGTCCATCACAATGCCAGTGGTGCGGCCAGAGGCGTACAGGGACAGCACAGCCTGGATGGCCACATACATGGCTGGGGTGTTGAAGGTCTCGAACATGATCTGTAGGAGGGATGGGCCTCGTCACACAGCTGAAGAGCCACACCACAGACATCAGAGCAGACTGGGGACATGCAAGTGTGCAAGAACAAAGCTAAGTGTGCCCGGGTTCCGTCCAGACCTACTGTGCACCTACTCAATACACACTCCAAGGCCACTTTACACTAGCCTCAGGGGCTGTGTCACACGACTCAGTGTTAGTACCTACACCCACAACACTGGGTTTTAGACACCTAGTCAGAAAAGCAAACACGAGAAAAAGACCTCATCTGGGGGAAGCAAATAGAACCTGCAAAGTTCCAAAGGAGACTCAGGTCAGAGAAGAAAGAGGACCCTGGAGAACGGCAGAAGAGAGAACAAGTGAGACAGGGCGCGGCACAGTCACAGGATGGAGGAGACCGCGCAGAGAGGCAGCGGCCACCAACCTGGGTCATCTTCTCACGGTTAGCCTTGGGGTTCAGGGGAGCCTCGGTGAGCAGCACGGGGTGCTCCTCGGGGGCCACGCGCAGCTCGTTGTAGAAGGTGTGGTGCCAGATCTTCTCCATGTCGTCCCAGTTGGTGACGATGCCGTGCTCGATGGGGTACTTCAGGGTCAGGATGCCGCGCTTGCTCTGGGCTTCATCTCCCACGTACGAGTCCTTCTGGCCCATGCCCACCATGACGCCCTGCGGAGGAGGAGCCGGTTCTCAGCCCCCACGGCCTCGCCCCGGAGTCCCTTCCGCAGGAGAGGGTCCCCCACCGAGGACCACGCGGCTGGCCGCCCTACCTGGTGCCTCGGGCGCCCCACGATGGAGGGGAAGACGGCGCGGGGGGCATCATCTCCCGCGAAGCCGGCCTTGCACATGCCGGAGCCGTTGTCGACAACGAGCGCAGCGATATCGTCATCCATGGCGAGCTGTGGGCAGAGCGGACGATGACCAGGGGGTCGCAGGCGCGGTCGCCCCCGCCCTGCCCACTTCCGGCGCGCGGCACCCTCGGGCCGCCAGGGGGCGCCTGTGCGCGCCCAGCTCGGGGACAAAGGAAGCCGGGCCGGCCGTGTTATTACCATAAAAGGCAAACGCTGATCGGAGGCGGCCCCGCGAAGCGCGGCAGGAAGCCAGGCCCCCGCCCCTCCCCACCGGGCGCCGGCCCCGCCTCCGCCCAG